GCTGTGCTCGGGCCTTACTCCTGGGTCTGTGCTCAGAGATCATTCCTGCTGGGGCTTGGAGGACCCTGTGGTGCCAGGGATCCAACTCAGGTTGCCCCCCTGTAATCAGGTGCCTTCCCCCATAACCCCACGGTTTCAGGGGAGCCTGTTTTGTATTTCCTTCCCTCACTTGCACCGTTGGCATCGTGGAGATTCCCCCCTGGTGCTTATTCGGAGTGGCAGGGTTTCAGATCTGACCTTGAGGCTGTGCTTGGGGCTCTCGGGTGGTTGCCCTCCCTCTGTTGCCTGAGCACTGGGAGAGTCTCCTGATTCTCACGGGGTGTCGGTCCTTGGGGAGCACTCGAGGGGTGGGGACGGGATGCGCACTGTTGAGCCTAGACCAGCCGCTGACTCAGGCCCAACTGCTCCACAGCAAAGCCGCCGCCGGGAAGATGAACCTCTACGAGTCCTTCGCGCAGGCCACACAGCTGGGCGACCTGCACACCTGCCTGATGATGGACATGAAGGCCTGCCAGGAGGACGACGTGCGCCTGCTGTGCCACCTCACGCCTTCCATCTACACGGAGGTGGACACGGCTGCCCCCTATTCACTAAGAGCAGGGGACAGTGTCAGGGCCAGCGGGGCTGGGCCTTTGTTCTTTTCTCCTGACCTTTTACCTCCTCAGCACCCCCCACTGCCCCCTCTCCCCACATATCCCTCCCTCCCAGGCTCTCCCAGAGGGGCTGGAACAGGGAATTCTGGGCACCCCTGGAGGTCTGGTGGGAGGGGGTATGCTGGTGCCCAGTGTGGATCTGACCTTCCCACATGTGCCCCTGTCCCCGTGCACACTTCCATGGCCGTGAGGGTGCCACGGCATGGGTCCTGGACCCACAGGGAGGGTGTGGCTGTCCGGGGACCCACTGGCCTGTCCCCTATTGGCGGGTGTTGTACAGCCCCGAGCCCCTGCACGCCTCTCTCTCCTCCCAGTTCCCGGATGAGACCTTGCGGAGTGGGGAGCTGTTGAACATGATCGTGGCTGTCATCGACTCTGCGCAGGTGAGCAGAGCCAGGCCAGGCCTTCATGGTCAGGGCCTCGGCGGTGCAGGCTGCAGGCCACAGTGAGTGTGCCATGGAGCCCCCAGGCCCTGGCCCCTGCTCGCCAGGACTCCTACTTCTCAGCTCTGCCCCTGGGCTCTGTCTTCCGGTCGAGCTTGGGTCTGTCCCTGTTTAGGCCCGAGCTGGGTCTCCTTTGTCCCAGCCCACCGAGGGGTCTTTGCCCTGCTCTTCTGTGCCTGCTCCTCCCACCTCTGCGTATGGCCATGCGCCAGGAGGGAGCCAGCTTGTGTGTGCTCCTTCCCCGTGCTCCAGTTTGTGCTTGTTCCTTCCCCTGCTCAGATGTTCCATTCCTTCCGCCCCTCCCCTCCACTGTCTGTCACTCCTGTTGTGGGCAGCAAGGCCCACAACTCAGAGAGCTGGGCCATCACTTCCTCGGATTCTCCCCTGAGGCCTTCCCGTCTGGCCTCCTGGCCTTTGTCAGTGCTGACGGGCCCTCCCTCCTCCTCTGCAGCTCCAGGAGCTGGTCTGCCACGTGATGATGGGCAACCTGGTCATGTTCCGGAAAGACTCGGTCCTCAACATCCTCAGTGAGTGAAGCAGGGCTGGTGCAGGTTGGAGCAGCGAGGCTACCCCCTCGGGCCCGGGGGGCGTCTGCAGGGTGCTGAGCTGCTGGTGATCAGGGTTATTCCTTCCCTCGCAGTCCAGAGCCTAGACTGGGAGACATTTGAGCAGTACTGTGCCTGGCAGCTCTTCCTGGCCCACAACATCCCCCTGGAGACCATCATCCCCATCCTGCAGCATCTCAAATATAAGGGTGAGAGGGTTGCGGCTGCACCAGGCCTCTGGGATGAGCCAGGCTCGAGGGTGCAGGGAGGCCGTGGGGGGTGTAGGGGCGGGATGTGTCCTCCTGAGCGGCCTGTGCTCTTCCCCCAGAACACCCAGAGGCCCTGTCGTGCCTGCTGCTGCAGCTCCGGAGAGAGAAGTGAGTCCCCAGCTCTGTCCCCAGGACTGGCCTCTGCGCCTGCCAACCTTCCCTCAGCTGCCCACAGAGCCGCTGCTTCCTCTGCACACCTCCCCCCCCAGCCCCCCCCCCCCCCCCGACCTGCCCAGAGAGGTGGGACTGGACATCCCAGTCTCCTGCTGCCATGACACTTGGGATCCCTCCTGGTGCTCCCAGGCTGCCCCACAGGTGACGCAAGCATTGAGGAAGGGGTGCAGGGGGCCACACCCCCCCTTCCCTGAGCCCACTGAACGGGCAGCCATTCTCGCACCGCCATCCCCTTCCCTCCTCTGCCAGCTGTGTCCCAGGGCAGGTGGGGCGGTCAGGAGGGCCAGCAGGGGTGGCCTCTGCGCACCTGCTGCCTTCCTGGCCTGTTTCCTGATTCCCGAGGGCAGCTGGGTGGCCCCCACATGGCAGGCAGATACATCTGCCCTGCAGAGGGTGGGACCAGGCCCTCAGGCCAGGGAGGGGAGTGGGTGGGTGAGGAGCCAGAGCATCCTCAGGCCAGGCGGGTGTGAGCCAGCCCCCCAGCCCTGCGCACCCTCCCAGGCCCAGTGAGGAGATGGTGAAGATGGTGCTGAGCCGGGCCTGCCACCCCGACGACCAGTTTACCACCAGCATCCTGCGGCACTGGTGCATGAAGCACGACGAGCTGCTGGCTGAGCACATCAAGTCGCTGCTCATCAAGAACAACAGTCTCCCCCGCAAGAGGCAGAGGTGGGCCTGGCCCCCGCGACCCTGGGGGGTGGGTGTGGGGGAGGGTGCCCCAGAGCAGCCCGAGACGGAGACTGCCCGGTCACTGCCTGCAGCCTGAGGAGCTCGAGCAGCAAGCTGGCCCAGCTGACCCTGGAGCAGATCCTGGAGCACCTGGACAACCTGCGGCTCAACCTGACCAACACCAAGCAGAACTGTAGGCGAGGGGCTGCCCGGGTGGGGGTGGCGTGGCCCCCCTATGCTGCACTCTCCATGTGCTCCCTTCTGCCCTCTAGTTTTTAGCCAGACCCCGATTCTCCAGGCTTTGCAGCACGTCCAGGCGAGCTGTGATGAAGCCCACAAGATGAAGTGAGTGAGGCGGGGGGCGCTCGGGGGCGGCTGGGGGGCCCGGCGGGTGCTGACCCCAGCCCTGGCTGTCCACACAGGTTCAGCGACCTCTTCTCCCTGGCCGAGGAGTACGAGGACTCCTCCAGCAAACCACCCAAGAGCCGACGGAAAGCGGCGCTCTCCAGCCCCCGGAGCCGCAAGAATGCGGCACAGCCCCCCAACGCTGAGGAGGAGTCGGGCTCCAGCAGCGCCTCGGTGAGCCCCCGGCCCCACGCAGGTGCCCGGCCCCCGACTCCCGCCTCCCAACCCCCGTGCCCCCATCTTTTCCAGGAGGAGGAGGACACGAAGCCGAAGCCCACCAAGCGGAAACGGAAGGGGTCCTCCGCTGTGGGCTCTGACAGTGACTGAGGCCTCCTGGTCCCTGTGTCACTGCCATCACTGCTGCCACTGCACACATGCAGGGTCCGAGGAGGGCAGGGGCCGGAAGATCATGGAAGCTTCTCTCACGTTGCTGGTGCCTGGCCCACGGGAGGGAGGAGCTGCTGCCAGGAAGCGGCCCTGAGTCTGCCTGGTCCCTGCACCCCTGGAGGACTGTCCCCTCCCTGAGCCCCCAGGAGCTGTCCCCCCACGGTCCTGGGAGGGTTCAGACTCTCCCTCTTCCCACACGGGAGTTCCAGGGCAGCTGGCCCGAGGTGGCGCCCCCACCACGCGTGTCCTCACTCCTCCACACCGGACTTCACCCTGGGACACTCTCGGACACAGAGCGGCGGGGACTTGGCCTGTGACCCCGGTGGGGCTCTCGGGGAGGCGGTGGTCCCTTGGAACTTGTGTTGCCTGGGGTCAGGCCTAGCCCTGAGGGACCCACACATGTGCCACAGAACTGTCAAATGGGCCCATTTGGTTCTGTTTAGATTTTTTGGGGGTGGGGTAGGGTGGGTTTTCTTTTGTTTTTGCAGAGATAATCGCGTTTTAAAAGTTGTTTCTAAATGACAATAAAACAGTCAGAACATCTTGCACAGGAGTCCTTGCCAGTGTGTCCACTCAGCACCGAGACAGCCCCCACCACTGAATCCCACTGCACCCCACACTGGCCCTGGCATGGGTGTGGGGTGCTGCCGGCAGCCAACTGGGGGAAGACAGCTTGGGTTTGGCATTCCTGGGAGGACTTGCTGGAACCCAGGGCTGCCTGGTCACCTCCGGAGCAGCGTGGGCCAAGGACCGCCTTTTTCACAGGCCAATACAACTCTCATGGCAGTTCACAGGCCAGACCCATGCGGAGGGAGGATTTCAAACGGGGCAGGAGCTTGGCGACGGCCCAGTACACAGAAGTGGGGGGGTGGCCTCTATGTGGCCTGCAAATGTATCCCCCGCTCCCAGTGGCGACTCCCACTTTTTCAAGGCCAGACCGCTCGCCTTCCCGATTCTGGGCGATTCTTCCCTTCGTGGGCGGCTGCATCTGGTGCCATTGCCCAGAGGGAGGGCTTCGCGTGGCCCCTCCAGGGATCTGGCTGCTGGGCCGCCACCTTTCCCCTACTTCTCCCCGGGAGTGGGGGAGAGGGCGTCGGTTTAGCGGTCCTGCTGGGACTTGCAACACTCCGCAGGCAAGGGGCCTGGCATCTTCAGCCTGTTTGGGGAGCCCAGAGGCACGTTCCCTTTCCGGAGGGGATGGGGGATGCGAGGGAAAGACGGACCGCTGGGCCGATTCCAAAGTGCAGCGGGACACCCCTTCTCGCTCCGGGCGGTGAAAGCCCCTATCAAACGAAGACGGGGGTGGCGGGAGCACCGCCCCTGGCCCGGGAGGGTGCGGGCCTTGGGCGGGGCGAGGCTGTGGGGAGGGCCGCCCCCTCCCCGCTCCGGCCCGAGGGGAGCAGGGGCGGGGGGGGGGGGGGGGGCTGGGTGGGAAGGGGCGTGTGCCAGCGCGCGCGCTCCCGGGAAGGAGCGGCCTGAGCGCCCGCACGAGCAGCCCAGTATTTCGGGACGGAGTGTCGGGGCCGGCGGGCCGTGGGCAGGTCGGGCACCATGGTCGCCCTCCTGCTGCTGCTGCCTCTGCTGTCGCTGCTGCTGCTCCGGAAGCGGCCCCTGTGGCTGCAGCTGCGCTGGCTGGCGGCTGACCTGGCCTTCGCCGTGCGCGCCGCGCGATGCAAAAGGGCCCTCCGCGCCGAGGCGCTGGCCGCGGCCGCCGCCGACCCCCAGGGTCCCGAGGCGGGCTGCAGCCTGGCCTGGCGCCTCGCGCAGCTGGCTCGCCGGCGGCCCGCGCACACTTTCCTCGTGAGCGGCGCGCGGCGCTTCAGCTACGCCGAGGCGGAGCGCCAGAGCAACCGGGCGGCGCGAGCCTTCCTGCGCGCGCGGGGCTGGACCGCGGGGCCCGGCGGCGGCGGCGGCGAGGCCGAGAGCGAGGCCCCTCTGACCCCGGGGGACACCGTGGCGCTGCTCCTCCCCGCCAGCCCCGAGTTCCTGTGGCTCTGGTTCGGGCTGGCCAAGGCCGGCCTCCGCGCGGCCTTTGTGCCCAGCGCCCTGCGACGCGCCCCCCTGCTGCACTGTCTCCGGGGCTGCGGCGCGAGCGCGCTGGTGCTGGCGCCAGGTAAGTGCGGCGGCCGCGGGCTGCGCGGGGCGGGGCCCGGGAGGAACGGCCGCCAGGAGGGGCGGGGCATCGGGAATGGGTGGGGCCTATAGGCGGGGGCCCGGGCTGCGGGCGGGGCCTCCAGAGTGGGCGGGGCTCGTAGGTAGGAGGGCGGGGCTTATGGGATGGGGCGGGGCCTGGGTGGGTGGGGCCGGGGAGGTGCACCCAGAGGTTCGGAAGTGGCTGTGCCGATGGAGCCTCTCGGTCTCTGATGCGTCAGTGATGCAATGAATTCTCCGACCTGGACCTGGATAGTTCAGGGTCTTTCCCCTCCCCCCTGGGGCGAGGAGGGTTTCTGGGAAGCGACCGATCTGGGCTTTTTACCCCCACCAGAGTTCCTGGAGTCGCTGGAGCCTGACCTGCCGGCCCTGAGAGCCCTGGGGCTCCACCTGTGGGCGGCAGGACCTTCCCCCACTCCTGCTGGTATCCCTGATCTGCTGGCAGAGGCCGCGGCAGAAGCGGACGAGCCTGTGCCCGGGTACCTGTCGGCCCCGCAGAATGTGACGGACACGTGCCTGTACATCTTCACCTCGGGCACCACAGGTGCGGCGGGCCCTGGCCTCCCCCAGAAACAGCAGGGACAGTCCTCTAAAAGCTCCCCCACCCCCGCCAAGGAACTGATCCCAGAGACCCCTCTGCGGGGGCGGGGATGAATGAGTTTATCATCTCAGCCTCTTTGTCTTTCTTGAATCTGGGGGGCGTAGCAGAGGTGGACAGGCAGGACAGGGCATCGCTGCCCACTCCCTCTGTCATCCCCTGCTGCCCTCAGGTCTCCCCAAGGCTGCGCGCATTAGCCATCTGAAGGTGCTGCAGTGCCAGGCCTTCTACCAGCTGTGTGGCGTCCACCAGGAGGACATCATCTACCTAGCCCTGCCTCTCTACCACATGTCCGGTTCACTGCTTGGCATCGTGGGCTGCCTGGGCATCGGTCAGTGTCACATGCCTCCAAGGACCTGCAGCATAGCTGAGTGAGGGTGCTCCTCAGGGTGGGGCCTCCTAAAGGAAAGGGTCACCTGGGTCCCTCCAGGTCCCCTTCTGGGGGCTGCATCACAGCACAGGCTCGAGACTGGGAAGGAGTAGCCTTCACCTCTTCCTGTCCCCTCCTGCAGGTGCCACAGTGGTGCTGAAATCCAGGTTCTCCGCGGCCCAGTTCTGGGAGGACTGCCAGCAGCATGGGGTCACTGTGTTCCAGTATATCGGCGAACTGTGTCGCTACCTTGTCAACCAGCCGCCGGTATGTGGGCAGATGCCAGCTGCTGAGCAGAGGGAGCCCAAGAAAGGGGCAGGGCCGGGTGGGATCACAACACAGAGATAGGAGTGGTCCCAGTGACACCCTAGGAGAGGTTTGGGGGTACAGTGAAGCCCTGACCCCTGCAGAGCCCAGCAGAGCACGGACACCGCGTACAGCTGGCGGTGGGCAGTGGGTTGCGGCCGGACACCTGGGAGCGGTTCGTGCGACGCTTCGGGCCCCTGCAGGTGCTAGAGACGTACGGCCTCACCGAGGGCAATGTGGCCACCTTCAACTACACAGGCCAGTGCGGCGCTGTGGGCCGGGCCTCCTGGATTTACAAGGTGGGGCGCGGCAGAGCCCCGGGCAGGGTGGGGGGACCCTGCTGCAGGTGCAGTGACCCGTGAGGTTCCCACCCCAGCTCGTCTTCCCCTTCGCTCTGATCCGCTATGATGGCACCACAGGGCAGCCGGTCCGAAACGCCAAGGGGCGCTGCGTGGCCGCCTGTGCAGGTGGGTGCTGGACCCGGGGGTACTGGGCAGGGGGAGCTGGGGAGACCTTGCCTTACTCCGTGACTCTGCCAGGGGAGCCTGGGCTGTTGGTGGCCCCTGTGAGCCAGCAGTCCCCATTTCTGGGCTACGCGGGAGGCCCCGAGCTGATGCAGGGCAAGCTGCTGCAGGACGTCTTCCAGCCCGGGGACGTGTTCTTCAACACCGGGGACTTGCTCGTCTGTGACGCAGACGGTTTCCTGCGCTTCCACGACCGCACCGGAGACACCTTCAGGTACCTCCTTGCCCCAGGACCCCAGTCCCCACTTCCCAACCCCTTCCTGCCCAGCCTTGGGGTCACGCTTCCCTGCCCTGCGTGCTCCCGTCCTTCCCCGCGAGCCTCCCAGGCCCCGGTTCCCATTTACTCACTGCAGGTGGAAGGGGGAAAACGTGGCCACCACCGAGGTTGCAGGGGTCTTGGAGGCCCTGGACTTCCTGCAGGACGTGAACGTCTATGGCGTCCGCGTGCCAGGTGCCTGGGCAGGGCCAGGGCAGGGTTGGCATCCCAGGCTGAAGGCAGCAGCTGCTCCCTGACACAAGCCCCACCCCCCTCAGGGCACGAAGGCCGGGCCGGAATGGCAGCCTTGGTGCTGCGGCCCCCACACAGCCTGGACCTCGCCAGGCTCTACAGCCACGTGTGTGAGAACTTGCCACCTTATGCCAGGCCTCGGTTCCTGAGACTCCAGGTAACCACCAAGGCCCTCACCCGCTGTGTGTTTGCAGACAGCCCCCACCAGGGGGCTCCACTCCTCACTCCCTCCAGGTCTGGCTCCTTCCCTGTAACATGCTCCCTGAGCAGAGAGCCCACACCTGCCTTAGAACTCAGGGCTCACCAGGCCAGGGCAGGTCACCCTGCTCAGAGGCTCCTCCTCTGCCCCTCCCTAGGAGTCTCTGGCCACCACAGAGACCTTCAAGCAGCAGAAGGTGCGGCTGGCCCAGGAGGGCTTTGACCCGAGCACCGTGTCAGAACCACTGTATGTGCTGGACGCGACCGCCGCTGCCTACTTGCCGCTCACAGCTGCCCAGTACTGCGCCCTCCTGGCTGGGCACCTGCGCATCTAAGCACTTCGGGTCCTGAGCCTCTCTGGCACTGCCTTTGTTGTCGTCGTTTTCTAATAAAAGGGATGGGAGCCACTGCTCTGGCCCAGGGAACCGTCTGGCTGTCTGTGGGGGCACAAGCAGTGGGCATCTCCCCAACGGCGCCTCTGGGTGATCCTTGCCCTGGGAGAGTCCTCACCTTGCTCCCAGGGACCCGCTGAGGGTGACCCCAGGTGGTTAGGGTGCTAGGGCCACAGAAGGCTGCCCTGGCCTAGCCCCCGTCTCCACAAATGGGGATGAGGCCAGGTGGGGATGAGCTCCTGGCTCTCCCTCCTTCTCCTCAGCTGTCTGAAAAAGAGGCCGCTGAGGAGGATCGGCCGCTGAGTGCTGTTGGCCCCAATCTTTGCCGGGGCCACACCCAGCAGACCTCAAGGGCTCCTGCAGCCAGGGTGCCAGGGATGAGACTCATGTCCCCATGCAAAACCTGTGCTCAGCCTTTGAGCCTTCTCTCCAGCTTTCATTCTTTGTTGTGAGTTTTTGTTGGCGGGGCCGCAGGTTGGACCATACCCCCATATGCCGAGCTTACTCCTGGCTCTGCACTCAAGAATCCCTCCTGGTGGGGCTCAGGGAGTCTTTCGTAGTGCCGGGTATGAAACCTGGGTCAGCCACATGCAAGGCCAGCACCCTGCCCACTCTACTGTCTCTGTGCCTCCCAATTTTGTTTTTCAGAGTAGTTTTCACTGTATTTTCCTCTTCCTTTCTCTCTGTGCTTATGGGATCCCACACACTGGGGTGTGGCATACCAGAGATCACACCTTTTGAAACTCAGTCACAATCATGCTATCAACAGATCTTTTTTTTTGGGGGGGGGAGTAAGAGAAATATTACAGTGGGTAAAGCTTTGCACATGGCTGATCTGGGCTTGATCCCCACCACCCCAAGCCCCATCAGGAGTGATCCCTGAGTGCAGAGCCAGGAGTAAGCCCTGAGCACATCTGGGTGTGGCCCAAAAACTAAAAAATCAAAACAAAACAAAACAAAAACTTCCCAGAAGCAGCAGGTAGACTGGGAGTTCCCAGGTTCTGGAGAGAGTGACAGACAGAACTTGGGGTATGCCTGAGGTGGCAGGAGGGCTAGATGGACCAAGAGGAGGAAGAACCTCCTGGTCCTAAGGAGAACTGTCAGAAACCTTCAGTATCTAAAAGCTGAAGTGTGTGTGTGTGTGGGGGGGGGGCGTAGAGATAGTTCAGCAGGCAGGACACTTACCTTTCATGTGGTCAACTTGGGACAATCCCTGGCGCCCCATATGGTCACTCTTACCAGGAGTGATTCCTGATTACAAAGCCAGGAGTAAGCCCTGAGCACCACCAGCTATGACCCAACAAATATAAGCTGGAAGCGAGAGCCAGGGAGATGGCTCAGTGGTGAGACATAGGCTTTGCATGTAGGAGTCCCAGGCTCCATCTCCAGACCACATGGTTACTCCATCCCACCCCGGACAGCTGAAAGCCATCCGTGAGCAAGGAGCCAGACTGGTCCATTATCAGTGTCAGTGTAGCCCTCAGAAACCCAAATAAATAAAGCTTGAGGGGCTGTAGAGATAGTACAGCAGACAGGGCATTTGCCTTGAATAGACCGACCCAGGTTGGATCCCCAGCATCACACATGGCCCCCCTGAGCCTGTCAGGAGTGATCTCTGAGCACAGCTGGGCGTGGCCCCAAACTCCAAACCAATAAAAATGAAAACCAAAAAAGTCAGACTGTTCCACGACTTGTGAAAATGATATGGGCCCCATCTCTGGGTCTGTGAAGAATTCTGCTGGAACACAGCCGGTTTTCTGTTGTTGGGCGGGCACAAAAGCAGAACGGAGAAAGTGACAGGCCCTGCCAAGCCTTGTCTCTGGCCAGGGGCCCAGAAACTGCCGTCCAGCTCCCGGCGCGCTTCCTCCCTGGAGGAAGTTGGGAAGGCCAAAGGCGATGGATGCCCAGGAGGGTGGAAAAGGGAGGCGCCCGCTGCACCAGGCAGAAAGTCCTGGCCACTGGTGACCTCTGGGCAGTGCCCACCTGCAAACTGCGGCCTTCCCGATCGGGGGCTGAGTTGGGGGGGGAAGGGGGGAGGGGCGGGGCCTTATTTCGTTAGTCCCGCCCCTTCCGCCCAGACCGGCGCCTGCGCATTTGTGTGGCCCCCACCCAGTCACTCACGCCTACACGCACTTGAGCCTTGCAAGGGGCGCTCGCCAGTGCTGCAGATCTGCAGTTTGGGCCCCTAGACAGCAAAGTTTGGGCAGAAAAAAACATTTCCATTGGGACATAATTGGCAGACCCTAGAAGTTAGCCTTCGAAAGGGGCAGGAGAGATAGTACAGCGGGTGAGGTACCAGCCTTGCAGGCTGCTGACCCGATTGGACCCCCAGCACCCCATATGGTCCCCCTGAGCCCGCTAGGAGTAAGCCCTGAGCACAGCCGGTTGTGCCCCCCAAAAGCCACCTAGAGGCCTGAGGGATAGCATAGGGTGCTTGCCCTGCAGTCCCTTTCGGCAACACCTGGCAGTGTTGGGTGTGGGGGGCGTGGTGCCAGGGAGGAGGCACACGCAGAGCAAGCCCTCCAGCCTTTAGAGCCCATTCCCGACCGTCCCTGCTCGTTGTTGCCATAGCTGTGCAGCTGCCTCACCCCTATGGCAGTACAGACGTGATACAGCGTGGGCGCAGGAGAGACAGCACAAGCGTTAAGGCACTTGCCTTAAAGGTGACCCGCCTGGGTTCCACCGCCTACCCCCACCCCATATGGTTCTCGGAGCTCCAGGAGGAAACCCTGAGCACCAAAAATTAAAAAAAAAAAAAAGAAAAAGATACAGTATAAAGATAACACATACATCTGCACACACACACACACACACACACATACACATATATATATATTCTGAATTCAAGTTCCCATTCAGAGATACATTTTATTAATATTTTCTCTCCTCTTTTTTTCTTTTTGTTCAAGGAGCCACACCCCCAAAGGTGTTGTATTGTTTTAGGAAACCAGGAATGAAATCCAGGGCTTCATATTTTTAAAGTGTGTGCTGTTAGGACTGGAGCGATAGCACAGTGGGTAGGGCGTTTGCCTTGCATGCAGCCAACCCGGGTTCGATTCCCAGCATCCCATATGGTCCCCTGAGCACCGCCAGGAGTAATTCCTGAGTGCGGAGCCAGGAGTAACCCCTGTGCATTGCCGGGTATGAACCCCCCCAAAAAAAGCTAAAAAAAATAAAAGAGAGAGAGAGAGAGACAAAGACAGACACAGAAATAGAGACAGAGACACAGACACAGAGACAGAGAGACAGAAACAGAGGCAGAGACAGAGATACAGAGACAGAGACAGAGAGAAAGACACACACAGAAGGAGAGAGAGAGAAGCAGAGGGAGAGAACATCTCCGGTGGGGTCCAAAAATGAACAAAAAGGAGGTGTGCCCAGTAGAGAGAAAATAACACAGTGGAGAGAGGCCAGAGGAGTTCATGGAGTTGGGGGTAGGGACGCCCAAGAATTTCTTCCAGAGAAATTTGGTCAGAGCACATACCTGGCACGCAGAGCTGTTGGCACCCCGGCACCATATGTGTCCTGAGCACTGCGGGGTGTAGTGCTGGTGTACCCCAACACACAGGCTGTATTACGGCATCTCATTCTCAGGTCCAGCACCAACCCAGCTGGCCACACAATGGCCAAAGCGACCAGGAGTGGCCCCGGCGTCCGGTGCTGCTTGGGAACCTACCAACCCAGAACTGGATCCTGGAGCCTGAGAGAAAATGCTCAAAGGGCTGAGGAAGGGCGTTGAGGCGGGAGCCCAGGCCCAAAGCAGGTCCCACAGCTTGGCCAGGAGGGACCCTGGGGTTCTGGATGTGGCCACAGGACAGAATAAAAGCTGGGGCTGGAGCAGTAATAGTACAACGGGTGTGGTGCTTACCTGGTGCACAGCCATCCTGGGTTTGGTCCCCAGCATCCCATATGGTTTCCTGAGCACTGCCAGGAGTAATACCTAGTGCAGAGCCAGGAGTAAACCCTGAGCACTGCTGGGTGTGGCACCAAATTAAAATTATTTTTTTAATTTAAAAAAAGAACAGAAGTTGACTTCTATATGAAGTCTTTGTTTTTATTTGCTTTTTTGGGTCACACTCAATGATGCTCAGGGGACTTGTCTAGTCCCAGAGGGGTATCTTTTTGTGGGCGTTGAGGGGAATCACACCTAGTGGTACTTACTCCTGGCTCTGTGCACAAGAATCACTTCCGGCTGCGCTCAGAGGACCATATGGGGTTTGAGGGATTGAACACAGCTGGCCATATGCAGGGCAAATGCCCTGCCCGCTGTGTTATCTCTCTGGCCCCTGTATGGACGGTTTTAGAAAAGCTTAGAATGTAATAAACCACAGCCACTTTTCTCAATAGTTCTCCAGTGCCTCAAAATGCAGGGTTATCTTACAACCCAGGAATTCAAGAGACCTTAACATTTGTCTATCCACACAAAAGCTCACAGCATTATTGACCATTCCCCCAAATCGGAAACTACCCAAGTGTACACCATCTGCATCTGGTGAACGAACCAGTATATGTGCTTGACCCACACCCGGAATGTCCAGCCGTAAAGCTGGATGAATCGAGAGAGGTTAAGTAGGGCCAAAGAGACAGTACATGAGCCCCACACTGTCCCCCAGCATCACCGGTGCAGATCTGGATGCACTGGCAGGGCCCTGTGGAGGACCTCCTGGTGATTTTGGGGAGACCCCTTCCCCGGACTCGTCCCTGGGCCATGACTGGTGATGACTGCACGACTGAATATGCAGTGAGCTCTGGGTAACATGCAGACAGAAACCCTTTATGGCAGGTCAACAGCATCCCTCACTTACAAACCATTCTTAGGAAGAAGAAGGACGGGAAAGAGCTGCCTTGGTCCTTAAAGTGCAAAGCATTCCACTTGGTTCTTTGGGGGACTTCGGGGCCACAGCAGTGGTGCTCTGGGGCTGATTCTGGTGGTTCCTGGGGACCATCTAGTGGAGGAGAGCAGAGCAAGAAGAGGGGACATGGAGACTGCTCCCTGGACCAGTCACCCTGACCTGGACCCC